CTCCTGCCTCATAGCAGAGGGCACATTTTTTAGAGGCTTCAACTCTGTCATTCTGTTTAAAGCTGCAGCGTCGCACTCACTCTTCCTGCTCTCTTTTTCCGTTTCTGATGCTCCCCACCCCCACCCCATGCTCCCTCTTTTCCTTCAAATTCTCTCCTTTCCCATGTTCAAATCTCACCGGCTCAGGGTTGACTCAGCCTTCCATCCTTCCGAGGTGGGTAAAATGAGGACCCGGATTGTTGTTGGGGGCAATATGCTGACTCTGTAAAGCGCTTAGAGAGGGCTGAAATCCCTATGAAGCGGTATATAAGTCTAACTGCTATTAGGAGAGCAGAAAAAGAAGGAAAAGAAAAAGAAATAGCCTAATAAATCGACCTTCGGTTGTTGAATTTAAATGCCGATTTGCAGAACGGCTCCTGATTTTTATATCCCCCCCCCCATTTCTCTTTTTTGCAGCAAATGTTCTTTAAAAGCTTGTGATGAGGGAATAATTGCTTGGCACTTTGGAATGGATCAACACATTAAATAAGACAATAGAGATAGCCCTCAACTTACAATCATTTGTTTCGTGACTATTCAATGTTGCGACGGCAGTGAAAAAAAAGTGACTTACGGCCGTTTTTGTGTGTAACTACCTGGAACAGAACACAACAAAAGATACGACTCACCCAAACCACACACAACTCTTAGTTTGGGAAAAATATGCCCGACATCTTTCTCTAATAACGTTTTTTGGGGTAATTGATAGGTGATGCTGGTTTTGGCCCACTCCCTTCTTTGTCTTAATAGCAGCTGTCACCGGAGCAGAAGCTCAAGTGTTCAATCTGGATTACGAAAAAAGACAGGCAGGATATTTCCGCCCCAATGAAAACTCTTCTTCCTTTACAAGGACCGACCAACTGTGCGTGGTGCTGCATGGTAAACAGTTGTGGTGCCAGAAGGATTTCAAAACAGGATAATCCTTCTAATGGCATGGGAGAGAAACTTTGGCTATGAGATTGAAATGGGCAAATGGTGGGATCTATGGAGTAAGACTATTAAACTTACAATATCTACAGCATTTAATAGCAATAGCAATAGCAGTAGACTTATATACTGATCTAGCAGTAGCCTGCAGTGCTGCATTTAACCACTGCGCCACCTTGGCTCTAAAGAAAACATATACAAGATAGCAATAGCAATAGCAGTTAGACTTATATACCGCTTCATAGGGCTTTCAGCCCTCTCTAAGCGGTTTACAGAGTCAGCNTTTTGATACTGCACCCCCCTCCCTTGTGATTGTAAGCCGCCCTGAGTCCCCTCAGGGAAAAGGGCGGCCTATAAATCTTAATAAATGAAAAAAATGAAAATGAACCTTCAGCAGATCCACTGAGTAGGTTTCCTCCAAAATGTTCCAAGTGTTGTAGCTATATAGGGCTATCCAGCAACCAGTTAGAGCTCTTATATCATCATCATCATTATCTTCTTCTTCTTTTAATGACGCTATAATCCCTTGTGGGGTGGAGTCTGGGCAACTGAATGGAGCGGAGTGTTTACTGGCCGGATACCGTCCCCGTCACCAATGCAGAGTTTTCCCCCCAGTAGATATATTCTGCTGGGGAGAATATATCTGCCTCTACCTAGGATAGAACTAGGGAGAGAAATATCTGCCTCTACCTAGGATAGAACTCACAGCCTCCTGGTTGTGAGGCGAGAGCTCCGCCTCTAGGCCGCCACACCACCCAGTTAGAGCTCTTATATCATCATCATCTTCTTTTAACGATCCCATAATCCCTTATGAGGTGGAGTCTGGGCACCTGAATGGAGCAGAGTGTTTACTGGCCAGATGCCGTCCCTGTCGCCAATGCAGAGTTTTTTCCCAGCAGATATATTCTCATCGTGCCCAGATAGAAAAATATCTGCCTTTACCCAGGATCGAACTCACAGCCTCCTGATTGTGAGGCAAGAGCTCTCCCTCTAGGCCACCGCACCACCCAGTTACAGCTCTTATAGATCAACACAAAACAGAGAGCTGAATTCTGATCCCTTGGGAGAAATTTGGGGGCGGGGAGGGGTGGGGAGCCTGCTTATGAGGACAACTTACCAGTCCGAGACTGGTTATCCCTGGAATGAGGTAAGCTACTATCCCTGCAGCTTCCTTACTTGGTGGCCTTCTTCCTCAGCTGGTCCCAGATCAGGGAGGTGAGCTCTTTGGCCAGCAGACTCAAGGAGTGCCCCATGGAACCGGACGTGTCGATGAGAATGCAAATGTTGGCTTCCAAGATGACCCCAAAGAATCGGCGGCTGCCTGAGGAGGAGAATTGTTTGCCCGTTGAGACCCTTTCATCTTACTTAGCACGGGGTTTAATCTAAAGAATCGGAATCGGGATAGACAGACCCGAGAGAAGCCACTGTAGTCTTCGGACGTAGCATCGCAATACTCTCTCCATCTGCTCGATGTAGTCGTCCAAATCTTTGGGTTGAATCTGCAGATGCTTCACCATCCCCTGGGAGACAAGATCTCAAGATGTCACTCTAAGAGTGGCCAATGTAGGCTAGGCTAAGTAAGCAAAGTCATGTAGGACTAAGACACTTTTTACTAGAAGGGCTGTTTAGAGCAGAATCTTGTACAGATGAATGTGTCTCCACCTCCCTCGTTTTATCTTTATGTGAATTAGGCTCATTTTTCTATCTATCTATCTATCTATCTATCTATCTATCTATCTATCTATCTATCTATCTATCTATCTATCTATCTATCNCTGGAGCATCGCACAGACGCTAGTACGCATGCGTGCACAGCGCGCGTGCACGAGGACGCCGCCGGCCCCGTTCCAACCGAACCAGTTGGAACGGGGCGAGAAACCCACCCCTGCTGGTGGTACAGATGCGTTTCTCTTCAAACAATCATGCAATTTGTAGTGTACCTAGATTTGCAAAACAATGGGATGAAGGAATATTCCTGAACTTTGTTTTAGGATTTATCTCACGGTTACTGGGAAATTGTGCGAATGCAGCAATGCGGTGCATGTTCTCTCCGCTTGCAGAGCTTGGATCCAATGAATGAGTTTATCAAGAAATGTCAATATTGCAGAATATACAGCCTCACGCTACATAACTAAGCTCCATTTCATGCTGAATAAACTAAATTATTAATGTATCTTAAATAGAAAACTATCTTTAGGTATCCAATTTAAAATTTTAAAATCCATTTTTTTTAATTTTTAAAAAAGATATTGATTTTTATCCACCCTGCCTAGAACCCTCTACATCTAAAGTTGTGTGTATGAAAGGATCCCCTCCCCCACTATTGAATTATAACCCTGTCATGGTATACAGGAAGTCTTTGACTTCTGACCACAATTTAACCCAAAATTTCTGTTGCTAAGTGAGACATTGGTGCAGTGGGTTTTGTCTCATTTTATGACCTTTCTTGGTACAGTTGTTAAGCGAATCACTGCAGTTGTTAAGTTAGTAACACGATTGTGAAGAGAATCTGGCTTCCCTATTGGCTTGTCCTGTCAGAAGGTCACAAAAGGGGGGAATGCTGCAACCGTCATAAAATATGAGTCACCTGCCAAGCATCTGAATTTCAATCCTGTGACCAAGGAGATGCTGCAATGGTCGTAAGTGTGAAAAATGACCATAAGTCACTTTTTTCAGTGCCATTGTAACTCCAGAAAGAACAATTACGGCCAACCTGCCTTCAATTGAGGATCTGTACACTGTCTGAGTCAAAAAGAGGGCTGGGAAAATATCCACAGACCCCTCGCAACCTGGACATAAATTGTTTCAACTCCTACCCTCAGAATGACACTATAGGGCACTGCGCACCAAAACAACTAGACACAAAGAGAGTTTTTTTCCCAAATGCCATCACTCTGCTAAACAACTCTCCTCACCACTGTCAAACCATTCACTAAGGCTGCATTACTATGACTATTAGTTTTCTCATCGTTCCTATCATCCATCTCCTCCCACTTATGACCGCAGGATTGTAACTTCGTTGCTTGTATCCTTACGATTTATATTGATATTGTTTCCTNAAGTCTTTAAGAAGATGTTGGATAGCCATTTGACTGAAATGGTATAGAGTTCCCTGCCTAGGCAGGGGGTTGGACTAGAAGACCTCCAAGCTCCCTTCCAACTCTGTTATTGTATTCTTGTATAAGTGTCCTTTTACAGCATTGCGACTGGAAGCTATCGGCCTGGCATCTATCCAAGGACTGATAAGGTCTGTTTTTCTAATTAAACCTTGAAAAGTTTATTGCTGGGACTTTTCTGGAGGTGAATGCCAGGAATTCACATTAACCAAATAAAAAAGGGGTGGGTTTTTTTTGGGGGGGGGGACAAGGTGCTTGTTTCATGATTCTGTTAAGCCTGAGTCAGAAGAGAAAGTTTATCAAAGAGAGATCCAGTCTAGAACTAAGAAGAAACTTCCTGACAGTGAGCACAATTAATCAGTGGGATGCCTTGCCTCCAGAAGTTGTAGACTGCCATTTGTCTGGAATGGTATTGGGTTCGGGCAGAGGGGGTTAGACTAGAAGACCTCCAAGGTCCCTTCCAACCTTATTGTTCTATGTTCTGTTCTACTGAGACCGTGCTGAAGAGATAAGAGAATATTTCCTCAAGATTCTTGGTTTTGGTGTTCAATGTTTGTAACTCTAGTAATACTTGATCGACCAAATATATATATATATCTGCTGCATTTGCATCTGCTGGAAGAGTTGAGATCAGACAGAAAGCACTTCTCCAGGGCAAAAGTTGTATATATATTGCCCTGGAGAAGTGCTTTCTGTCTGATCTCAACTCTTCCAGCAGATGCAACGGTTGTGTGGATCTTCCTATTGCCTAGAGAACCCAACAGCGTTTTCAACAGGGTGAGTGGACGCATCCAGTTTTTACAAGCCCTTGAGCTTTGCTTTTTTTTGCAAGAACAGCACAGTAACGCAAGCAGGCAACACATCATTTACAAATAGGAAATGTTGCTATGGGCTTTCATTGCTCACTTTTCTCATAATCACGTAGAGAGATGGTTTGGTAGAGACTGCATTTGTTCTGATCTGGTATATCTAGCCATTCTGGCTGGCCTGGACCATGTAAGGAATAGCAGTTAGACTTATATGCCACTTCGTAGTGCTCTACAGTCCTCTCTAAGCAGTTTACAGAGTCAGCCCATTGCCGCCCCCCCCACAACAATCTGGGTCCTCATTTTATCCGCCTCGGAAGGATGGAAGGCTGAGTCAACCTGGAGCCGGTGAGAATCGAACTGCTGGCAGTCAGCAGAATTAGCCTGCAATACTGCACTCTGACCACTGTGCCACCATGGGTGGAATAAGGGGTGGAGAATTAATTTTCCCAAGAGGCGACATGAGAAATGAGAACTCCTGTTGAGGGCATTCAGCTGAATTGAATTCTGCTCAATGTCAACTCGTAAAATTGCCATGGTGAGGAAAAGGGGGGGGAGCAGCGCATTCCATGCATACCTTCAGCTAGTTGGATCTCAGAATACCCTGTGTGCACCTCGTTGGTGAATGTGATTTATGACACAGACTGAGGGAAGGGAAGGAACAGGGTAAAGTTCAGCCATAATTCGAATGAGGTTTAGATCTGACTGCAAAGCGGTATTGCTGACATAGTGCTCCTAATAAATGACTGGATTTCTTTTGAAACTTGGCTCGAGGCTCATGAATTTATTAGGGCATCTTTCGGAAACCTGACAGACAGTCAGATCTACATTACATTACATTACAACCTAGAGCTGGTGAGGATCAAACCCCGGGCAGTCGGCAGAATTAGCCTGCAATACCGCATTCTAACCACTCTGCCACCACGCTTGTGTTAGAAGATGTCTGTAAGAAACAGTAACCCGCACACAGTAAATATATACCTCTGTGCAGGCGTTTGAAAGCCGTTCGGCTTCCGTGGTGACGTTGACAGCTGGCAAAGTTTTGTGTAGAGCATTGACCTCATCGCTTTGACAATCTCCTACTCCAGCTTGGCAGCGCCATCAATTAACATCACATCAGCACAATGTTAATGATGGGGAGGGAGGTCCTTGTGACCTGCTGGTAGGACGTAAGTAGCAAGTTTCTTTAAGAACTGGCATGATTCATTCCCTTACAACACTTTGTACTAACTATATATAACCACATCATTCCAATTCATGTTTTTTCTTTCTTTCCCCCTGGGTTGTTTTGTTTTGGCTTCCAGTCACTTCAGCATCGGCTCGAATAGATTCATGAACCAGCTGCCAAACATAACTTAGGAGATATAATTTATCTTTTGGGAAAAGTCATTTTCGACCAGTTAATTATAGGATCAGAGGGACAGTGTCCCTAGACTTTACAAGAACAGTCTATGGGATTTGAGTTCCATGCAAAACTTCATGTTGTTCGTTTATTTATTTAGAATTAGAATAACAGAGTTGGAAGGCACCTTGAAGGTCTTCTAGCCCAACCCCCTGTTTAGGCAGTGAACCCTACACCACTTCAGACAAATGGCTATCCAACATCTTCTTAAAAACATTAATGTGAATTCCTGGCATTCACCTCCAGAAAAGTCCCAGCAATAAACTTTTCAAGGTTTAATTGGAAAAACAGACCTTATCAGTCCTTGGATAGTTGCCAGGCCGATACAGTCGCAATGCTGTAAAAGGACACTTATACAAGAATACAATAACAGAGTTGGAAGGGACCTTGGAGGTCTTCTAGTCCAACCCTCTGCCTAGGCAGGAAACCCTATACTGTTCCAGACAAATGGCTATCCAACATCTTCTTAAAGACTTCCAGTGTTGGAGCATTTACAACTTCTGGAGGCAAGTTGTTCCCCTGGTTAATTGTTCTAACTGTCAGGAGATTTCTCCTTAGTGCTAAGTTGCTTCTCTCCTTAATTAGTTTCTACCCATTGCTTCTTGTCCTACCTTCAGGGGCTTTGGAGAATAGCTTGACTCCCTCTTCTTTGTGGCAGCCCCCGAGATATTGGAGCACTGATAAACAATAACAATAAACAACAATTTATTCAATTGGGATGGCTGCCCATCTCAAACAAGGGACTCTGGGTGGCAAATAATCATAGAATCATTTAAAACCAATATAACAATGAAACACAAATCGTAAACAAGAACTATTATAGAAATGTAGAAAACTGGGGATAGAAAAAGATCTGCCCTTTGAGTTTTGTCTGTTTTCCTTTTAGTTAATTAATTTATTATTTGTGCTAGTATTTCTATACATTATTTATTGTATTTTAAAAAAAATTGTCAGATGGTGGATATGGGTTTATCGCAAGCATGTTTACAATACAATACAATAGCAGAGTTGGAAGGGACCTTGGAGGTCTTCTAGTCCAACCCTCTGCCTAGGCAGGAAACCCTATACGGTTCCAGACAAATGGCTATCCAACATCTTCTTAAAGACTTCCAATGTTGGAGCTTTCACAGCTTCTGGAGGCAAGTTGTTCCACTGGTTAATTGTTCTAACTGTCAGGAAATTTCTCCTCAGTTCTAAGTTGCTTTTCTCCTTGATTAGTTTCCAACCATTGCTTCTTGTCCTGCCCTCAGGTGCCTTGGAGAATAGTTTGACTCCCTCTTCTTTGTGGCAACCCCTGAGATATTGGAAGACTGCTATCATGTCTTCCCTGGACCTTCTTTTCATTAAACTAGACATGCCCAGTTCCTGCAACCGTTCTTCATATGTTTTAGCCTCCAGTCCCCTAATCCTCTTTGTTTAAACACAGTCACTGATGATTGACCCATTACTTCCGCTGGAAGTTGCTTGCAAGCTTCTACTACTTTTTCTGATAAGACTCTAAGGCTGTAATGGCGAACCTATGGCACACATGCCACAGGTGGCACGCAGAGCCCTCTCTGCGGGCATGCGAACCGTCGCCCCAGCTCAGCCCCATCATGCATGTGTGCGCACCTCCCACCAGCCAGCTGATTTTGGGGTTTATGCCATGCATGCACGGGGGAGGAGGCGCATGCGGGAGAAGTATGCGCATGGCAGGGGGTGGGGGTGAGGCCACACACACATGCATGGGGGTGGTGGGAGTGCAGAGGGATGTGGTGCGCTGCCCCCCTGCAGCCTGTTTTTGGTCCCCAGAGGTGGCAGGGAGGTCTTCTAGTCCCAAAATGGGACCCCAAAAGGGTCGCACCCGCGTGCGTGGGGAGCACAGGGGTGTCACGTGTGCATACACAGGGGGCGTGGTGTGTGCACTGATGACAAAAAGGTTCGCCATCATTGCTCTAAGGGCAATTTCCATTCTCCATTTGTTTGGCTTTTAATAAAATGAATGAGAAATGGGAGACAGGATAGAAGAGTTCCAATATCTCAGGGGTTGCCACAAAGAAGAGGGAATCAAACTATTCTCCAAGGCACCTGAGGGCAGAACAAGAAGCAATGGGTGGAAATTAATCAAGGAGAGAAGCAACTTAGAACGGAGGAGAAATGTCTTCGCAATTAGAACAATTAATCAGTGGAGCGACTTTCCTCCAGAAGTTGTGAATGCCCCAACACTGGAAGTCTTTAAGAAGATGTTGGATAGCCATTTGTCTGAAACGGTATAGGGTTTTCTGCCTAGCCAGGGGGTTAGACTAGAAGACCTCCAAGGTCCCTTCCAATTCTGCTATTGTATTGAATATATGGTCTCCTACCTGCTTTGGCTGCAGTAAAATAGATGCATTAAATTGTGTTTATTTTAAAAGCAGAAAATTGTACTAATGAGGTCAACGGTTCAAACTTGAGGCTTGATGGGCCATCGAAAAAAGACTCGAGACTAAATACATTATTTGGGCAATAGGCTTCACACACCATTAATTTTAGCAGGGCAAGGAGGTTAAGACACAACAGCTTTTGTTTTGTTAGATTTTGGGAAATTTAAATGATTGCCAAAAAAACCGTTTCCTTATACTATTCAGTGATATTGTTGCCGTACCATCTACTTTGGCCTCAGCCTTTAAAGCAGCCTTGGTTTTCAAGTTATTTATTTTTGTTTTGCAATGCAAAATGGATGTTTTTTTGAGCTAGTGGAACTGCTGCTGTAGCTGAGTGACCAATTTGGGATGGATTCTATTTGAGTCACTATTCTCTGGGATTTTAGACTATAGCTTTGTTTAAGTCTATATAAAGTTTATATAAAAGCCTATAAGTCTAAATAAAGCCCCAGTAAGGCCACACCTAGAATACTGCATCCAGTTTCGGTCACCACACTATAAAAAAGATGTTGAGACTCTAGAAAAAGTGCAGAGGAGAGTAACCAGGATGATTAGGGGACTGGAGGCTCAAACATACAGTATGAAGAAAGGTTGCAGGAACTGGGCATGGCTAGTCTAGAGAAAAGGACTAGGGGAGACATGATAGCAGTGTTCCAATATTTGAAGGGCTGCCACAGAGAGGAAGAGGTCAAGCTATTTTCTAAAGCACCCGAAGGCCAGACAAGGAATAATGGATGGAAAATGACCAAGGAGAGATTCAACCTAGAAATAAGGAGAAACTTTCTGACAGTGAGAACAATCAAAACCAATGGAACAGAAATTGCCTTCGGACGTTGTGGGGGGTTTCATCACTGGAGACTTTCAAGAAGAGATTGGACTGCGATTTGTCAGAAATAGTGTAGGGTCTCCTGCTTGGGTGGTTGGTTGGGCTAGATGACCTACAAGGTCCCTTCCAACTTTGTTAATCTGTTATCTGTATAAACCTATAGGGAGCGATCCTGTGCTCTCCATTTCTCTGTCACTCCTGACACAAAAGTACCCTTTGTACTTGGCTGTGCCCTATGTGACCACATTCCTCTTTTCCTTCAAATTTCACCGTGGAGATTCCTAAAAAGCAAGTAACAGACTGAGCGTTCATAAAGTGGAAGAGCCAAGGTGGCGCAGTGGTTAAATGCAGCACTGCAGGCTACTGCTAGATCAGCAGTTCAGCGGTTCAAATCTCACCGGCTCAGGG